TTCATGATCAAAACTCAAAATGAGTACAGAAGGAACAAAACACAATAAAGGCCGTATATGACAAACCCACAGCTAACATCGTAATCAGTGGGGAAAAGTTAAAAGCTCTTCCTCTAAGATCTCGTTCAAGTGTGGCTACTTTTACCACTTTCATTCATCATGGTCCTGGGAGCCCTAGCTAGAGCAATTAGACAGGAGAATGCAATAAAATCCATCCAAATTGGGGGGAAAAAAGTCAAATTGTTCCTGTTTGCAGGTGACATGATCATATATACATAGAGAACCCTAAAGATTCCACCAAAAAACCTACTAGAAATAATGAATTTAGTAAAGTTGCAAAATACAATATCAATATATAAAAATGAGTAGCACACACATGCACCAATAGTGAAACACATAAAAAAGAAATCAAGAAAGTTGTTTCATTACAGTAGCTAACCCCCCAAATAATGATACCTAGGGATAAACATAACCAAGAAAGATCCTACAATGAAAACTATAAAACATAGATCAAAGATATTAAAGCAGACACAAGTAAATGGAAAGATATCTCCTGTCCATGCACTAGAATATTGTTAAAATATCTCTATCACTCATTGTGATCTACAGAATCAATGCAATCCATGTTAAACTACAGACATTCTTCATAGAAACAGACAAAAAAAGATTCTAAAATTCACATGGAAACGCAAAACACCTCAAAGAGACAAAAGAATCTTGAAAAAAAGAAAGACTGGAGGCATCACACTTATTTCAAAATATACTACAAAATATACTATAAATCCATAGTAACTGCAAATCTATAGTATCATATCAGAACAGCATGGCACTGTCAAAAAAAGGGGCAGGGAGAGAGAGAGAAAGACAAATGACAGACAGACATAAATAAATGAAACAAAATAGAGAACTCAGAAATAAATTCACGCATTTACAGTCAACTCATTTTTAACCTAGGCACAGAGAACACACCCTCTGGAATAACAATCTTTTCAATAAACTGTGCTAGGAAAACCCAACACTCATATGTAGAAGAATAAATCTACATCGTTATCTTATCACATACAAAATTCAACTCAACATAAAGATTTAAATGTAGGACCTGAAACTATGAAAGTACTAGAGAAGAAAACATAGGATAAATGCTTAATGAAATTGGTTAGGAGAAGGAATTTTCAAACAGACATCAAAAGTACAAGCAACAAAAGCAAAAAATAGACAAATGGAATTACATTAAACTTAAAAGCTTCTGCAAAGCAGAGGAAGCAATCAGTGGAATGAAGAAACAATCCAGAAAATGGAAGAAAGTATTAGCAAACTATGCATCAGGCAAGCGGTTAATACACAAAAAGCAAGACTACTGAAAAGCAAAAATACAAGTAATCTAATTTAAAAATCAGAAAAAGATCTACCCAAAACCTTTGGTCCCCCACCATTATTTCCCCACCTTCTTTTCCCTACTGCTTTCGGCCCCCTCCCTCTCGCCACCCCTTTTTCTTTTGCCATCTACCCCAAAACTTTTTCCCCACCATTTTCCCCCACCAACTTTTCGCAAAGCCCTCTCCACTCTACCGCTCAGCACCATCTTTTCCCCTCTCCCTGGCCACCCTCTTCCCCCGTCGCGCTCTCATCACCCTCTTTTGCTCCTGCATCCACCCAAAAACATTTTCCCCCACGGTCTTTTCAGAAAACTTTGTCTCCCTTACTCACCACTCTCTTTTGACCCCTGCTGCTCACCACCCTCTTTTCCCCCTCCATCTACCCAAAAACTTATTTTTCCACCATCTTCTTCTTCACCCTCGGTCTGCAACGCCTTCTCCTGCTCGCCGTCCTTTTTTTCCCTTTGACACTCACCACCCTCTTTACCCCTCCATCTACCCCAAAACTATTTTCTCCTCTCCTACCTCCTCAGCTGCGCTGCCATCTCCGTGGCCGCCACCAACCGCAGCGAGGGGAGGTGCGCTGTCACAGGCCCCAGCCTCCAACGTGGGGCACGTTGCTCTCCCATCTCCTCATCCTCTAGCCGGACAGGAGCAGCTCTCCCTGCCGGCGGCCCTCCTATCGCTCCCGGGACGCTGCAGTCTCGGTAGCCGCCACCTACCACAGCGAGGCGAGGCGTGAGGAGAGCCACAGTGCCCGTGGGCTCCAGCCTCCGGCCTCCGGCCTCCAGCCTCCAGCCTCCGGCGTGTAGTACGTAGTAGGTGGCTTCCTAAGCTAGCACGGAACAGCTTGGCACGCTTAGGCAGGAAAGCATGGCCTCACTCCCCACCTCAGCAGGATTCCTATACTGATGTTAGGCAATGGGGTTCCTGGACTACATGTTCTGATTGGATGAGAGAAAAACCTCTAGGCCTACTCTGATTGGACTTTATTTTCATGCTCAGATTGGTTGTCCTAGTGCTTGCTCTCATCCAATCAGAACATGATAGTAAAGTCCAATCCAGCTTGAGTTAATTTTTTCTAAGGTGTAAAGAAGAGGTCTAGTTTCAGTTTTCTGCATAGACTCGCCAGTTTTCCCAGTACCATTTAATGAACAGAAGATCCTTTCCCCATTGCTTGTCAAAGATCCGATGGTTGCAGATGTGTGGTGTTATTTCTGAGGTCTCTGTTCTGTTCCACTGGTCTATATATCAACATCATTGATCATCAGAGAAATGCAAATCAAAACCACAATGAGATAACATCTCATGCCAGTAGGAATTGCGATGATTAAAAAGTTGAGAAACAATAGATGCTGGCAAGGCAACATTCATTCCTGATTTAAAAAATGCAAAACTCCACGTAAATAGAGGAGAATTTACTAAACTTGATAAATGGCATACATGAAATATCTGTAGCTATTATACTTAACGACATAAGACTGAATATTTTCCACATAGGATCAAAAATGAGACAAGGAAATCCACTCTTATCACGATTGAAACTGCCTTTGCAAAATTATGACTGAGACAGTGAGAGATCTCACTTAATCAACCCCATCTTGCTTTCTAACCTCCAAGATGTCCTTGCTCATTCCTGGGTGTAGACTGAACTAACTTTGGGAGAAACTTAATTTATAGTTTATAGTTTAAAACAAAGACGGTAACAGCCCTTTCCCAAAGCAGACCTCCTTCTTGTCTGGGCACTAGATTGCCTTCATAGGACTCACATTAGCCACAAGATTAGAAATTACGGTTTAGGAGTCATGCAGCTGAAGGCTACAAGATTCTGACCCTCCTTAAACTGCTCCTAAGATCAGTGCTGGAGAAATTTTGCAGACCCTGCACTTGATGGATCAGCTGGCACCATCCAGATGGATTAACTGGCTCATCTGATCTTGTGGCCCCCACCCAGGAACTGACTCAGCTCAATAAGACAGTTTCAACTCCCTTTGATTTCATCCCTAACCAATCAGCACTCTTGGCCCACTGGCTTCCCCCGACCCACCAAGCTGTCCTCACAAACTCTGCTCCTCAAATGCTCAAGGAGACTGATTTGAGTAATCGTAAAAAAAACTCCGGGCCGGGCACGGTGGCTTGCCCCTGTAATCCCAGCACTTTGGGAGGCCGAGGCGGGTGGATCATGAGGTCAGGAGATCGAGACCATCCTGGCTAACACGGTGAAACTCTGTCTCTAGTAAAAATACAAAAAATTAGCCAGGCGTGATGGCGGCCGCCTGTAGTCCCAGCTACTCCAGAAGCTGAGGCAGGAGAAAGCCTAGGGAGACTCCGTCTCAAAAAAAACAAAAAAAAACAAAACAAAAAAAAAAAAAAAAAAAACAAAAAAACAGACATAGTCTCACTCTTTTGCCCAGGCTGGAGTGCAGTGGCCTGATCTCGGTCCACCACAACCCCTGCCTCCCGGGTTCAAATGATTCTCCTGCCTCAACCGCCCAAGTAGCTGTGACTACAGGCGCGTGCCACTATGCCTGGCTAATTTTTGTATTTTTAGTAGAGATGAGGTTTCACCATGTTGGCCAGGCCGGTCTCCAACTCCCGATCTCGAGATCCGCCTGTCCCGACCTCCCAAAGTGCTGGGATGCATGAGCCACCACGCCTGGCCTCCTTTTTTTCTTTTCTTTTCTTTTCTTTTTTTTCTTTTTGTTTTTTTTGTAGACGGAGTTTCGCTCTTGCTGCCCAGACTGAAGTGCAATAGTGCGATCTCAGCTCTCCTCAGCAGGAGAGCAGGAATCTTCAGTGATCCACTGGCGGATCTGCAGCCATTGTGCACCCCTCTCTTACAATGCCTTTTTTGTGCGCGCCTCTCCTTCCAGTACCTACTGCAGGAGCGTCCCCCAGCCTCCCGCCATTGCCAGCAAGTGCTGAGATCCGCCATTGCACTCCAGCCTGGGCGACAAGATCGAAATTCCGTCTCAAAAAAAAAAAAAAAAAAAAAAAAAAAAAAAAAAAAATTCCTTATCAAAAAAAAAAAAAAGAAAGAAAGAAAAAAAAGGATGAAAATTTTGGAAAAATATGGAAGAAACCGAATGGATTTCTAGTTCAACTAAATCGTAATTATTCAGTATCTATTTTTTGCGAGAAACCATGTATTTCATGTCCACAGTCAGGACCACAGTCTAGCTCTCAAGTGTGGGTGTTTCCTAAGCAAACTGAAGAACACAGGCATAAAAGTGCATTAAGTTCATAACCATTCACCTCTTTTTTGCTGTTGTTTTTAAGAGGGAGCCTGCCTCTCTCTGTTGTCCAGGCTGGAGTGCAGTGGCGCGATCTCGGCGCACAACCACCTCTGCCTCCCTGATTCAAGTGATTCTCCTGCCTCAGCTGCCTGAGTAGTTGGGACTACAGGCGCGTGCCACCATGCCTGACTAAATTTGTATTTTTAGTAGAGACTCGGTTTCACTATGTTGGCCGGGCTGGTCTCCAACACCTGATCTCCGTGATCTGTCCGCCCGACCTCCCAAAGTGCTAGGATTAGAGGCATAAGCCACCACGCCCGGTCTCTTTTTTTCTTTTTCTTTTTTTTTATTTTGAGACGGAGTTTTGCTCTTGTTGCCCAGGCTGGAGTGCAATGGTGTAATCTCAGTTCACTACAATCTCCACTTCAGCGGGAGAGCAGGAACCTTCAGTGATCCACTAGCGGATCTGCAGCCACTGTGGGCGCTTGTTCTTCCTGCGACCTTTGTGCGGGAGTCTCTCCTTCCACTACCTATTGCGAACCCACCCCCCACGTCCGCCTCGCGCCATTGCCAGCAGGTATCTTGCAGAGGTACCTTGCCGCGCTAATCCGTTAAGGTCACTCTGTCACTCGCGGCATTCTGTGCACGCCACCCACTCCCTCAGGTTTAAAAGATGCGTTGCCTGGCAACCAGCAGGTGCCTTTCCCGCCGGAATCTTGCCAGGCTAATCCGTTAAGGTCGCTCTATTACTCGCGGCGTTCTGTGCACGCGCACCCACTCCCTCAGGTTTAAAAGGCGCGTTGCCCGGCAACAGAAGAACTGCTCGCTTAGCCTTCGGCCGAGTTGGCAGCTCGACGAGGACCTCAGAGCCCAGCTCTCGAGAGTTCAAGCGTTGGACGGTTCCCCACTGCCCCCAGGAGCGGTTACCTGGGCACTCTGTGCCCCTTATTCCTGTCCCGGCCTGCGGCTGAGGACCTGCCAGTAGGGCTCAGTTGCCTGGAGCCCGTTCAGCCCATCCCCCAGTTCACTTTGCTTGTGGGATCTCCCCGTTGCTCCTGTCGCTGGACGGAGTGGCAGGCCATCCTACAAGCACCCGGACACTTGGCATCAGTGGTGTCAAGACAACTCCAAGAAGGTTTTCCGTGATCCTTCAAGCCCTGTGTTCCTTCCTGGTGATCCTGCCTTCAATTTGATTGTACAGGTACCACAGCAAGCCAGTGCTGTGTGCTCCAAATTCCAGGGCGTCCTGCAGCTCAGCCCCTGCACTGAGCACAAGGAATCTCTGTGGGGCCAGGAGCAGGGAGTCACCCCTTTGGGGCCCACAACACCTGGCTGTCCCCAGACTCGTGTCCAGGGAAGATCGTGTTGAGGGGACCTCAAGGAGAGCGGGGCAGGGATGCCTGAGCAGGACAAGGACCCCAGAGTCCAAGAGAATCCTGATGATCAGAGAAGGGTCCCCATGGTCACCGGGGATGCACGGTCTGCATTTCAGCCCCTGCGGGACAATGGAGGCCTCTCTCCCTTTGTGCCCAGGCCTGGGCCACTGCAGAGAGACCTCCATGCCCAGAGGTCAGAAGTCAGATATAAGCAGACATCCCAGACCTCCTGGACGAGCTCGTGCACCAAACAAAATGCCATCTCGGGCTCCTACAGCTCCACGGGAGGCTTCCCGTGGCTAAAGCGGAGGAGGATGGGGGAGCCAGCCTCATCCCACTGTCAGCTGACCCTCAGTTCCTCAAAGACAGTGAGTGAGGCCAGGCCTCAGGCTGTCCCTTCAGGTCACACCCAGCGTGAAAAGGCAGCGGATACAACACCAGGGCAGACACTCACCCCCAGGACTGGCTCCCCCAGATCCCAGGCCTCTAGGCCCCGCAGACGCAAGTTTCCCCTGCTGCCACGCAGGCGAGGGGAGCCTCTGATGCTGCCACC